GGACTGAGGTTTTTTTTGATCATTTTTAGGCTGATCTATTTTCTTGTCTGAGGTTAAATGATTTTCAGTCCCGGGGTTAAGTTACATGATTGGTCGAGTTTAAACAATAAAAACTCAAACAAACAAAAAAATCTAACAGCGTGTTCAGACGCTCCTTACATCAAGAAAACAGAACAGAGTTAAATTTCTGTGGATTCAGGTCAGATTCGTGACTTTGTGAATTAAAATTGTTGACTGAAAAACTTTGCGTGGCTGCCGCTCATTCTCACTGACACCGGTGAACCTCCAGGGAGTGGACATTGATATAGTGGACTCTTATAAGCACCTGGGTGTTCACCTGAACAAACTGGACTGGACCCACAACACGGACGCTCTTTACAGGAAGGGTCAGAGCAGACTCTACCTGCTGAGGAGGCTGAGGTCTTTTGGAGTGCAGGGGACACTCCTGAACACCTTCTTTGACACAACTGTGGCTTCAGTCAYCTTTTATGGCAGCAGCAGCTTATCTACAGCTGAGAGGAAGCRGCTGGATWAGCTCATCAAGAAGGCCAGCTCTGTGCTGGGATGCCCCCTCCACCCAGTGCAAGTGGTGGKAGACAGAAGAACTCTGGCAAAAATAACAYTAWAACAGAAAACTCCTCCCACCCKATGTGTGGAACTGTAGCTGATCTGCRGAGCTCCTTCAGTGACAGACTGCTGCATCCTAAATTCACAAAAGAACGTTACTGCAGATCATTTCTCCCATCAGCTGTTAAACTTTATAACCATCACTGTTCTCAACAATCATAGCATGCATGTATGTGTTTGCACATCAAACAACTCTACCTCGAAATCATTACACAAATAATAACCAATAATAATAATAATAATTGTTCACTGTTTTTGTTCCTGTACTGGATTTAATGACTGAGACTGAAATAATTTGCACACACCTGAGTTTAACTCGTTTTGCACACACCTGAGTTTAACTCGTTTTGCACACACCTGAGTTTAACTCGTTTTGCACACACCTGATTTTAACTCGTTTTGCACACACCTGATTTTAACTCGTTTTGCACAAGTCTGTCATGACTGTAATTTTGTCTAACTGTATATCCTGCTGCACAGTAGCTGCTTCAATTTTTATCTAATTTCTCATTGATAGTCTGGTACGGTAATTATTATTATTCCGTTTTGCTATAATTGATATTGTCACAAAGTTGTGTATTGACGTGTGTACCTGCTGCTGTTGCTACACCTGAATTTCCCTGCGCGGGACAGTAAAGGCTGTTTCTATTCTGTTTCTATTCTATTCTCGTTAGTTTCATTAAGGAAAAAAAACTATTAGTACAGTTTTCCAAAGTACTAGTCACACAATTATTTACTTTGGATATTTTTGCTGCTATTGGGACTGACATTCACAAAATAATTATTAAATCTGTTTACAATTTCACTCTGTTCATAAATGTCCTCATCATCTAAAACAAAACATTGTGAGACAC